AATCCTGTAACTCTGCTGTCCTTTGGCTTCATAGATGTTAAAGACCAGGAGGTGAATAGTGTATGCATGTGGAGACCATTTCACCAGTTTCCTGCACGAGGGTCCCAGCCGGCTGAATTGAGCCTGAGTAGCAATCCCTACACTCTCCTTATATGTCCTCCATGTCTCCCGTGGGGGATTTTAGACATGTTATTTGTGGCCTAAGAATTATTTTGCCCTGAGTTTTTACCTCCCGTAAAGCTTAAGTGGAAGAATAGATAAATCGTTTTAAAGTTATCACTTTTTCCTGCTGTTTGTCCATGTGAGGAACAAAGAATACAAATAAACTCGGTATCTTACGCATTTTAGAGAGATCCGAAATTTAAAAAAAAAAAAAATGTTTTTCCAGGTGTTTTAAAAATTTGCAAGACCAATATAAAAGCTTAATTCAGCAGAGAGAGAGAGAGGAAAAATGGATGACCATCAGGATTTTTGAGAAATGGTATTTTTAATCTTTTTTTTAAAAAAAATTGATTGAATATTTCTGTAGAGCAGTCCTTCGGTTTTATGCTTTTGATTTGATAGCATTCTTAAATGTTAAGTTTTATAAAAAGAAACTTACATCAGTAATATTGCTTATAGCTCTGACAAGAAGTATATATGTTATCTTCCTTTCTCCCAGTGTGAATAAGCTAAGTAACTGCTAGTTTTAATTTTCTCCTACTTAGTGTTTGTTTTGTTTGGCTCTGCACGGTGGCTCATGCCTGTAATCCCAGCACTTTGGGAGGCCAAGGCGGATGGATCACTTGAGGTCAGGAGTCTGAGACCAGCCTGGCCAACATGGTGAAATCCCGTCTCTACTAAAAATACAAAAGTAGCCGGGCATGATGATGCATGCCTATAATCCCAGCTACTTGGGAGGATGAGGCGGAAGAATCTCTTGAACCTGGGAGGTGGAAGTTGCAGTGAGCAGAGATCAAGCCACTGCACTCCAGCCGGGGTGACAGAGCGAGACTCCGTCTCTTAAAAAGAAAAAAAACATTGTGAAAGACACTTGGTAATTCTTTCAATCTCAACACTGATTTTCCCTTCCTCCCTCCCTCCCTCCCTCCTTCCCTCCCTCCCTTCCTCCCTCCCTTCCTTCCCTCCTTCCCTCCTTCCCTCCTTCCCTCCTTCCCTCCTTCCCTCCTTCCCTCCTTCTTTCTCTTCTTTCTCTTCTTCTTTCTCTTCTTTCTTTCCCTGTCTTACTCTAGGGAAGCACTGAACTTCTTTTACTTTCTTATATTTGTATCTTTCTTGTTAATAACTTTGATCTATAAAAGTTAATTTTTGATTAGGGTGTTTTTAGCTATTGCTGGGAAAATACCTTCTTAATATAAGAATACAGCATTTCTATAAGGAGATTAAAATTAATATCAATACAGATCTTTTTTTATTGTGTCTTCCTTTTAAACACAGTTGTATTTGGGTCTAATCAGTGGGTTAAACAGGCTAAGTTTTATATAAAGAATTATTAAACTCTGATAAGAGTGACTATACGATATAAGAAAACTATATATTTTACCCTAGGACTGAGGGAGGAAGACCAAACTTGTAAGGGGCCCCACCTGCAAGGGCTAGGGCTCAGACTTCATTGGAGGAGGTATATTCAGTTCATTGAATTAGTAGAAAAGTTCTCTCTTATCGCCAGGCCAGAGTTGGTCTGTAGTCCGTTGGCAGTCAGGGCAACCTGGAATGCAGGTGATCAGCAACATGTGGCATGGTTGTGCAGAGAGAGTGGCAGCTGGGTGGGAAACCACAGATGGGCAGCCCGTGCAGACCTCCAGAGCAAGCAAACTAAGATGTTGATAAGGGCAACGGCGCATTAGTGTGCCTATGCAAGCAGGAAGCCTTTGGAGTGCTAGATTCTGTCTTGAGAGGGCTGGTTATCCCTTGGCCAGGCTCAGGCTGCAACCTTGCTGAGAGACTTGTATATCTGGACATTGGGCAGAACTGTTTGTCCTACAACTTGTTTTAGCATTTTCTGCTGAGAAATCTTAACATAGTTGTCTTAGTAGAGATGCTTAAAGGATTTGTGTCCATATAGCAATGCATATATTGAAGGGTGAATTTGGAGAAGAGAGTCATACAATTGATAACTGGCACAATCGTGTTTTTTTTTCCAGTTTACTTTTATGAGAAATTATGTTCATAGTGTTCTATCCATTCTTTGATTCAAGAGCATATGCTATGCATGCACCATGCTAGATGCTTGGGATTTCATCACAAGGCAGCAAGTAAAATTTTAAGTATGCATGAAGAATCATTTTATGTAGCTGTCACATTCTTGCTTGATACCTGATGGTAAAAAGACACTTTTTTGAGCATTGACAGAATAATTGCTTCATGTATGAGAGGACTGTGTCAAAGTAGTATTCTTCACATTAAGATAAAGTTTCGTGGCAGCAACTATTGAACCAATTGGGGACTTTGAATTGGAAGACCAAGATTCTGGTCTTGGTTCTTAAACATATAACAATCTGGGCCTTAGTTATCTGTGAAATTGTGTTGGACTTACTGGATTTAAAATTTTCTCTCACACCGTTTCTAATATACTGTGAGTCTTCCCTCGGATTGGAGCTGAAGATTAGAGTAAGGAAGGCCTAAAGCCTGTCACAGTCTTTTAGGACAGGGGTGCAAGAAGAAATAACTAATTTTTAAAAAATATATAGTTAGGATGGTTTAAGCAGAATCAATAGTTTGCCAGCAGATTGGATTCAAACAGGTCTAGTAATAGAGAAATACCAAGCTGAACCGTAATTCTGGAAATATTTCCCTGCTTTATAGAATTATGATTTTGATATAAATTTCTGAGTATAAAATATTTTATAAGGTGGGATTCTGGGTGAGTTTAAGAAAAAAGGAGTTGCTTAAAAAACAGTGTACAGAATGGGAGAAGATATGTGAATCACAGATAAGGGGTTTGTATCCAGAATATATAAAGAACTCTTATAACTCAATAATAAAAAGACAGCTGGTTTAAAAGGGAAAGTGATTTCATAGGCATTTCTCCAAAGATGTACAAATGGCCAGTGAGCACATGAGAAGATGCTCAGCATAGTCATTAAGGAAATGCAAATCAAAACCACAATGAGATACTACTTGATGCCTGCCAGAATGGTTATAATTAAAAAGACCAATAGTAGCAAGTATTGGCAAGGATGTGGACTAATTGGAATCCAAATACATTGCTGGTGGAAATGCAAGGTAGTACAGTCACTTTGGAAAACAGTATGGCAGTTCCTCAAAACATAGTTACCATGTATCAGTTAAACAGAGTTACCTAATGACCCAGTAGTTCTACTCCTAGGTACATACCCAGGAGAATTGAAAACATATTTATAATAGATAAAAAGCAAAAACTACTTAAATGTCAGTCAACTGAGAGAACAAAAATCTCGTAACTCTACGTAATGGAATATTATTCAGCCATAAAAGCAAATGAAGTTCTGATACATACCACAACATGAATGAACCTCAAAAATATTATGCCAAGCAAAAAACAAACCCACATGCAAAAGAACCATGTATTAAATTACTTCATTTATGTGAAATGTCTGGAATAGGCAAACTATAGAGATAGAAAGTAGTGATTTTTCAGGGGCCGGGGCAAGGGGGAATGGGAAGTGACTATTAATAGTCACAGGTTTCTTTTTGGGATGCTGAAAATGTTCTGAACTCTGAATATACTGAAAACCACTAAGTTGTATACTTTAAAAGGGGAGAATTTTATAGTATGCAAATTGTATCTCAAGTTGTTTATTTAGAAAATTTGAAACTGAAAAGTTTAAAAAAAGAGCTTAATTGGTCTGAGATTAAGCTGCAGTTGGCACTTCGTAAGTGCCAGTTCCGTATTTCTTTCAAAGCTTTTTAAAAAAATATCTTTGGCACTTTGGGAGGCCGAGGTGGGCGGATCACGAGGTCAGGAGATCGAGACCATCCTGGCTAATACAGTGAAACCCCGTCTCCACTAAAAATACAAAAAAATTAGCCAGGCATGGTGGCGGACGCCTGTAGTCCCAGCTACTCGGGAGGCTGAGGTGGGAGAATGGCGTGAACCCGGGAGGTGGAGGTTGCAGTGAGCCGGGATCGCGCCACTGTACTCCAGCCTGGGCGACAGAGCGAGACTCCATCTCCAAAAAAAAAAAAAAATATATATATATATATATATATACACACACACACACACACACACACACACACACACAAAGATATATATATATATCTTTGGTATTTAATGTTTACTGTGTTCAGTATTTTGACTTTATTTTTATTTTTTTGAGACGGAATTTCACTCTTGTTGCCCAGTCTGGAGTGCAGTGGCATGATCCCGGCTCACCGCAACCTCCGCCTCCCAAGTTCAAGCAATTCTCCTGCCTCAGCCTCCCGAGTAGCTGGGAATATAGGCATGCACCACCATGCCTGGCTAATTTTGTATTTTTAGTAGAGGCAGGGTTTCTCCATGTTGGTCAGGCTGGTCGCGAACTCCTGATCTCAAGTGATCTGCCCGCCTCGGCCTCCCAGAGTACTAAGATTACAGACGTGAGCCACCGCACCCAGTGACTTTATTTCTTTACACAACTTCTGGTTAACATTTAGGCTACTTGAAGCTGTACCTTTGTAGCTCAGCAATTAGAAGTAGTACCGGGAGAGTCAAGACATCTATCTTCTACCTGGTGGGATTTTTGCCTTGATAACACAAGTAGTCATATGTTTATATGTTTATGGTTTTTCTTATGAGAAAAAAATGGCTGTGTGAATATCTAGGGAGAGGATGCAATAATGTAGAAAAAAATTAATTTTATATTTGCTTTATGTTTAGTTATGGAAAGGTAAGTTTAATAAAAATAAGAAAAAATAATATATAAATGATGTCCTTTCAGCAACTTCTAGAGGGATATTTAAAACTTTCATCTCTTCATGTGAGGTATTCCATTATAATGTTGTTCATTTTTAATAACAAATAATTTATATCATTACAGACAGATTTGACCAGTTTTGGGCCATCAATCGGAAACTCATGGAATATCCTGCAGAAGAAAATGGATTTCGTTATATCCCCTTTAGAATATATCAGGTAGGAAATAACATTTTAAAAAACATCCATTTATGAAAGCCTCAGACATCTTACTTGAAGCACTCTAGTCCGGAACTCTTTGTCTGCATAGTAACTAAACAGTATTTATTAGGGGTTTTCCAAACTGTGTCTTTCAGTGGCAATCAAGTCAGATACTGCACTGAAATATTTGACTCATATGCAGTTGGTGCTCGTTATTTGTAGATTTCATATTGGCAGATTCACATACTTGCTAAAATTTATGTGTAACCCCAAAGTCAGTACTTGGAGCACTTTTATGGTCATTCAGAGTGGTGAACAATTGATTCACCTGATGCTCATTTCCCAGCTGAGGTTGATCAAAGCGAGGTTCTACCTTATTGTCTCAGCTGTCATACTATAAACAAGCCTTCTTTTCGCAGTGTATGTAGTGCCATGCTTTTACATTTTTGTGCTTTTTGTTAGTGATTTTGCTGTTTAAAACAGACTCCAAATGTAGCACTGAAGTGCTCTTTTTAAACAGAAGCACACATAGAACAAGGTTATGTATTGATCAGTTGATGAACATCTTGTGACCAAGGGCTCACAGAAACGTATTCCCCCAGGAGCGATGATTTCAATGTTTGTGGTACCCTTATAAAACAGAACTACTGCAAATCACAAGAATTTACTGTCTGTCTGTTTTGGATGATTAATCTTCAGTGTTGTACCACAAAGTAGGCAATAGGCTCTGAAGTCTTTCTCACAGCATATTTGCATGAGGTAAAGAAACTCCATGTTTCTGTACTTTAAAAGTGCTGGCATAAATATTGGCATTTAGTAAATATTAAATTTTTTAATCAGTGGCATTCCAGGAAGTAAGTTTCATACTATCATGAGAAAAGCAGTTAAGAACAAGAATTAGAAGCATAATGTCACAGACATAGACTCTAATCTAGTAGGACTTCCATTCAAATTCAGAGGTTTTTCATAACTTTCTTTGTAGCCGTTTTCAGTATCCCACAATCTTTACTAATAGTTACTTCTATAGTTATTTTAAAATCTTTTATAGAGCCATCACATAACTATGGGTTCAAAGAGGAAAACAGATTGTCTAATTGAAAATAAACATCTCAAAATACTGGAAGAACGAAGAATATTTATTTAGTGTTGCAGGTATAATTTTCAAGTAGTCCATATTTTTCACGAAGGCAGGGTTATTGTTAGGTTCATGCTTTGTGTCCAGGGTCTAGAAGAATGCTCGGCATTTGAATTTCTAATTTATTGAATCATTTATCATTTGTCAATTTTATTTTAATTATTTATATTCTTTGTATTTTACCACGAGCTCCACAGTAACATGCCATAAGGCATTCCCACAGCCTAGCAAAATATCTTACTTGTACAATTTAGTTGAATAAAATATATCACAGACTCTGAAGACATTTCTCAAAGAGTCTCGAAACTTTTGAGATTTATACCTCTCAGCACTTATTTGGGTCAAGTTCTGGCACATATATTTATACAAGAGATTCTTTACTGTAACCTCTTTAAACTCCTATAGGGAAAGTGTATTATACTTAATTTATGTCAGAATATAGTGCAGGTGTACAGAGGAAAGTTTTTCCATTTTGAATTTATTCTGTTTTAGGGGAAAATTGTCAGATAAATCCATACCTAGTGTTGTGTTATTATAATACACATAAGTTTGAGAGAGAGAGGGGGAGAGAAGGAGTGTGTGTGTGTGTGTGTGTGAGAGAGAGACAGAGAAAGAGAGAATGGTTTTTATAAAGTGCTGTAATTAGATAGAAAGTAGGAAGGTAGAGAATTCTCAAAATTTGCTTGACAAAACCTGGCTGCCAGATGGGGACTGTCTTAGGGCAGAACCTCCTGCTTGATCTTTAATGTGTCAAGGCACTTGGGCAGTTTTTCCTTAAATAGAAAGTGACAAAGAGCCTAAGGACAATATAGGTTCTCATTTGACCTACATAACTTTCCTTTTGGCTTTATCCCAGTTCCATTTTGATTTTTATTTGAATTTAATTAAAGTTTTAGAAATGAAATATGAAATGAATACAAAAATTAAGGAGTCCTAGTTTTTGCTAATTTGCCATTTCCTGGCTTTTCCTATTTCCCTATTTGGTATTCAGTCTTCAACCATGGCCTTGACCAAAGGAGGATGGAACTGTACTTTTTGTTTGCCTAATTGTGTCATCTAAAGGCAACATCAGATTTCTGTTGCTGACTTCTTTATGTCTAATTAGTTTGTATGGTTGTGATACTCTGTATGTTAAATGTAGCTTTTATTTGTGCAGCATTTTGATCAATTTACACCTTTCATTTCTTTAACAGACTAGATACAAATCTCTATAATATTTGAGCCCGTAAGTTACTAAGTAAATTTAAGGAAAATCTGAAAATCCAGATTTATTAATAAAGGGCTAATTTTTACTGAAATATTTGTTTTACTTTGCAGAATCCTAATAGAATTTCTGTATAACAAGAGAAGAGAGAGACAGAGTACTGAGCATGCTTGAGTGAGGCCCATTTTATCTTGTTGAAGCCTCAAAACCATCTTAGGATATAGGAATCATTATCTGATTTTACATGTGAGAAAACTGAGGCTCAGGAATTTTAAGTCGCTTGCCTCAGTGAATAAATGAAAAATGGAAGAACTAGAATCCAGACCCAGGCCTGATTTATGTGCAAAGTATGACTTGTTTATAATAATTAAGTTTATAGAATTTTCAGAACATAATTATCACAAAAAATGAAGTCTGCTCAGACCAAATAAGTTGATAGGAGCATAGAATACCTGTGACTGGTGGTATTCTTTGAAGATTGACTTTTGTAAAGATTGTCATCAAACTGTATGTTTTTCATCTGTAATTCATTTATCATGAGCTCAAAATGTCTATAGTCAGGTGACAGAATTTTAGTGGTAAAAGTTAAATTGGTCCAAAAGCCATCTAGAGATGTTGCAGACCAAAATGTGTCATTTCTGTCATTTACATAACAGTTTAGTTTGGTGTGTGAGTTTCAGGTTTGTGTTCCTGAAGTCCAGGTGTTTCATATTAGCCAGTATTCTAGAGATGACATTAACGGCAGAAAATGTTACCGAATGTAACCAAAATGTTAGTTAGCACTTGTAAACAGGTGGTGATTAATGAAGGCATTTGTCAAAAATATTTGTTAAATGACTGTGAGGTCCTTAGGCATTGGCATTTGAGATGTAAAATGAAAATTGGGCACATCATATCTGTTTTTCAAGAAGCAATAGATTGATAAATGTTATCCTGCCATTGTACTTTGGGTACGAAAAATGTGTCTCATTGATTCATTCAGCAAGTTTATTTACACACATATTTGCCTGCCATGCCCTATGCTATGCACAAGGGATACAACTGATGATCGATATTATGTATCACCCCTTAGAAAGGTTATAGTCTAAAGGTGGAAAGAAACAAATCAACTAAGAATACAAATATAACATTGGAACTGTGATTGCTGTGAAGAAGAGATACACAGTGCAATAAAAGCTTAATGCCCCAGGAAGAATTTGTTCTAGTTTGGGAGGAGAGAAGGCTGCCTTGAGGATATGTTGCATCCCCAGAGATTTGACAGATAGGAAAGGTGAACTTAAGATAGGCAAAGAGTCATGAGAAGACCTTTGTAGGCACAGGGGACGTTGTAAGTATGAGGACAACCTGTTTGTCTTGAGCACAGAGTTGGGATAAGGCTGCAAAGGTGAAAGACCATATTAACGAGTTTTCTCTGTATCCTATAAAGAATGGGAGATCCTAAGAGATTTTTAATTATCTGAATATCCATTCATATTTATTCAACAGAGATCATTCAGTCTCCTACTTTGTTCTACATGTTGTTCTTAAGGTTATAAATAAATTTAGAGAATCTTCATAGAAACAACCTAGCAATGTTATTTTTAGTTTTAGAAAAACGAGAAGCTGATAAACAATCTTGTTTTCCTGTAAAGTTAAAATGAGACCAGCCTGGATACAACACAGTGAGACCCCAACTCTAGAAAAAAAATTTTTTTAATGAGCCGGATGGGATGGTATGCACCTGTAGTCCCAGCCACTTGAGAGGCTGAGGTGGGAGAATCACTTGTGTTTGAGAGGTCAAGGTTGCAGTGAGCCTTGACCACGCCACTGCACTCCAGCCTCGGCAACAGAAAGATACCCTATCTAAAAAAGAAAGAAAGAAAGAAAGCATGGTTCCTACTTGTCTTTACTTTTTATATTTTATTTTATTTTATTTTACTAATTAATTTATTTATTTATTTTGAGATGGAATCTCACTCTGTCGCCCAGGCTGGAGTGCAATGGTGCAATCTTGGCTCACTGAAACTTCCACCTCCCAGGTTGAAGCGATTCTCCTGCCTCAGCCTCCCGAGTAGCTAGGATTACAAGCGTCCACCACCATACCCGGCTAATTTTTGTATTTTTAGTAGAGATGGGATTTCACCATGTTGCCCAGCTGGTCTCGAACTCCTGACCTCAGGTGAGCCACCTGCCTCAGTGCACCTCCCAAAGTGCTGGAATTACAAGCGTGAGCCACTGCGCCCAGCCTTTTTTTTTTTTTTTTTTTTTTTTTTTAAATTTTATTTTTTTCCAGAGAGGGTCTTGCTCTGTCACCCAGGCTTGAGTGCAATGATGTGATCTTACCTCACTATAGCCTCTGCCTTCCTGGCTCAAGCGATCCACCCACTTCAGCCTTCCAAGTAACTGGCACTACAGGCATGTGCCATGCCCGGCTAGTTTTTGTATTTCCCACTTGTCTTTGGAAGAAGTTGTTCATTAGTTATAGAAAAGTAAAATAAAGTAGAATTTGAACTTCGTTTTGTTTACTTCATAATCCCCAGAATTCTGCTTCCTTTCCCATAGATTATCTCAGTGTAAAGTTGTTCATTTGTATCATTAAAGCGCCATTAATATTTTAATTCTTTTGGGAGGTTTACTAGCTATTTTGGTTAAGCAAATCTATTTAACTTCTATGTCATGCGCTAAAAGTATTTAAGAATC